TGTGGTTTCTCCCATTTTCGTGCCGATTCTTCCAATGCATGGGAACAAAATACAATTATGATTGGGAGCCGATGATGTGCAGTGTCATGCCGTTACGGCGTGGCTCTATACAGCTCTCTGTGGCTCTACCGCTCTACCGCTCTTTCGCTCTAACACTCTAACGGGGCTCTATACGGCTCTATATATCGGGCCCGCCCTCTATATTTAGGGGATGTGTCTCTGTGTCTACCGCTCTACTGTGCTCTCTGTAGCTCTGTATAGCCAGGTCGGTTTTGCAGATGTGGCCACTGGTTTTCGTTTTACTAACCCTGCATCTAACAGGTCCAGACATGGGGCCTGGGGCATGGCAAACCGCGAGCATGTTCCGAGATAGCCTCGACGCGAGGCACGAGCGGCTTGAGGCGTATTGTAGGATAAGCAATGAGGGAAAGGGCGTGAGAGCGTGACGCGAACGTGACAGAGTCACTTTGCCTCTTCTTCGCGTCCGCCATCGTCGACGCCCTTTCCGCCCGTTTCTCGACTCCCTTCCCCCTCTACATGACCCAGATGTCGGGTGAAGACCCCAACGCGTCCAACAACCAGCCCCCGCCCCCGAGAAGGGTCCCAAAGACCCACGCGTCGGCTGGCGTCACTTTGGCGTTGAAGAAGCTGTCGCGAGGCGCGAAGGTCAAGATGAACACCGATATCGGCGACAGAAACGCGCTACACGAACTGAACAGAGCGCGGAACACCGCCAGACCATCCGCCACGTTCCAAGACTCGGACGACGAGTCGTGCGTCACCGTCTCAGACGCCGAAGAGTTCGACTCCCCGGCGACCGCCGTCGCCAAGGCCATCCGCCTTGCAACCCCCAGATCGTCCATCGCCCTCGCGCGCGCATTCGGGCAGTCCAACGGCGCAGACAAGCGCCCCAGAGAGAACGCGGACACCTCGGAAGACAAACCCATCTCCAAGAAGAGGGTGAGGCGCGAAGAAGTCGAACTAGAGGACGGCATGTCCCTCCCGACGACCTTCCATCGCTTGATACGAGACCTCTACGACGAGGGCCGTAACATCCCTCTCTCCGCGTTCACCACCGACAACCTGGACTTCATAAACTCGAACCACGCCTCCCTCCCCACGCTCAAATATAATTCCAACATAACCCCGGACAAGCAGGTCCGTCTGCTCGACGTCCTCGCATTCCAGGAATCCCGCGGCAGAGAACAGGACCTGACACGAGGCCAGTGGCTAGAAGGCGCGAAGAACTTCCTGGAGTTCATCGCGTTCATGGAGGGAGAGGGGAGCGCCGCCCACGCGCGCTGGGACGCGCACTTCGGTTTTTTCGACCGCTCGGCGAAGGGGGAGACCAACTTTGACGCCTACAAAGCAGCGGAGATCGTGCTTCGCGAGAAGTACGCTACCCATCCTTTCACCTTTAGCTATGCAGCCTACAGCGCCGAGCGCGCTGCCCAGTTACTGGAGATGAAGGTTGTGTCGCGTGTCGACCTTGTCATGGGTTCCCGCCACTCCTCGGAGGCGCCTCGCCTCCCTCTCTCCCACCGTGACCACGCGGGAGCGGGCGGGGGGGCTCCCAAGGGCGGCGGCGGGGGAGGCGGCGGCCGCGGAGGCGCAGCCCCTCGAGGCGCCCCTCCCTTTCCTCCCAGCAACGGTGGCGAGGCCGCGTCCGCTGCTTGCCTCATTTGAGTCCGCCGCGGCCACCTCTGCAAAGACTGCACCCACACTACCTTCGCCGGCGGCGCCCCCGTCCACAGCCCCCCCCGCGGCGACCAAGACATCGTCCTTATTCAATCCTGCCAAACACTATGCCGGCACTGGAACACCAAGGGGAAGAACGCGTCCTGCAAACACGACGCAACGGCTCGCGTTCATGCTTGCAGCTTCTGCGGCGCCCGCTCCCACCACGCCTTCAGCTGGACCTGCCAACAGAAGCCTCCCCCCGCCTGACGACCTCGCCGCACTCGCTTTCTTGGACTCTTGCTCGAACTCGCCTCGCTCGCCCATTCACGAAGAGATTCTGCAACGTATCATCACCCCTTATAACGCCGACGCGTTCGAAAACTTATTGGACAAGCATCATCTCGCAGCAGCCCACCCTTTCTTGGTCGAGTATCTACGCCACGGCTTCCCGATGGGCGATTTTCCTGAGCTCCAACGCACCGTCATTTTCCCGAACCACCCGTCTACGGCTCAACACCAAGTCTTCATTTCCACGTACCTGGCTGAAGAGGTCGCCGCCCGCCACATGAGCGGACCGTTCTCGCAGGCAGAAACCGAGACAATCCTGAAAGGATTCTTCCAATGTTCGCCGATAATCATCTCCGTCCAGCCTCAGGCCCCCGGCGAACCAGACAAGCTTCGCCTGTGTCGAAACCTCTCCAAGGAGAGCAAGGACCATCCGTCCACGAACGCGCATATAGACAAGGGCAAATTCCCTACGAAGTACGACTCCGCCGCAGCCGTTGCAGAAATCGTGAGTCTTCGCTTCCTCCTTCTCTCCTTTTCCTCGCCGGGGGTTCAGAGAGCGAACGGACGCCGCTGCGGTTGGTACCCGATGAGCAGCCGACACCGCTCTCGTCGCAGCCTACCACACATAACCCGCCGCTGATGCCTCGCGCCCGTGTGCGCCGCCTCCTTACGCAGAAGCTGCGACACGCCCCGAGAGCGTCGCTACCCTCCGTTGAGGACGATGCGTGCGCGCTTCAGCCCTGCTTCCCTCGCGGACCGGGCTCGCCGCCGCTACGCACCGATGTGCACGCTCCCCTCCGCGGAGGCCGCTACGCGCTCGTCAGCGCCGACGGCGCACGCCGCTTTCGACACGTCGGGACCCGCCCCGTTTCGCGTCCTCGCCGCTGACCCGCCTCTCAGATCGCTTCGGCGCCGCCGGGCGCGCAGGCCATGGTCCTCGACGTGGCGAAATTCCACCGCACGTGCCCGATCCGCCCCGAACATAAACGGTGGTTTGTCGTTCAAGGCCCCGATGGTTTTTACATCGACCACGTCTGTCCGTTCGGCTGCTCGTCGTCGAGTAGCAACGCTGGCCTCATCGGCAACACCATCGTCGACATATGGCAAGCCGAGGGCGTCGGCCCCATTCCCCGCTACGAGGACGACCTCGCCCCGTTCCGCTCGCTCCGCGCTACGCGCAAACCACCTGGGGTGAGTTGTCACTCTGGGTGGATAGTGCGGTTTGCCCGTGCGCTCCGCCCCAGCGAAGCTGGTCCCCGCGCTCAGAGCCCTCTCCCGCTCAGAGGTGCGGATCCCGCTGACGCGCCCGGAAGGAATTCGCATGCTGTCCCCGCAGCTGCCCCTTCCCGGTCGCCCCGAGCACGTCCCACCTCCTGCGCCCTAGCGGCCGAGCGGAAAGAGCTGCAGGCTCTTCCCCCACACCCCGCATCTCGAATACAGCGGACACCGCCGCCTTTCGAGATACGGCCTCAGTTTTCACGCGGACGCTACCGTCCCGTTCGCTTATCTGGAGCAGGGGGATATCGAACAGTGTCTCGCAGATCGAGGTTCGACTCCCCGCGTCCGTCATCATGCTCCCATGCATCACCCCACACCAACCCCACACCGCTTTTCTCCCCCGCACAGGATGCATATTCACAGAACCACGGTGTTCAATCCAGCCGGGGTCGTTGTCGCACTAGCGTGCAGAGTTAGCAGAGTCGGACGTTGCAGTGAAAGGAAGAGTGCCGTCAGCCGTGATGCGTAATCACAGTGACGGCAATGATGCGAACGTCTTTGCTCCCGACGGCCGTCTCCCACCTTGCTGCATCAGGCTGGGTCTCTGCCCACTGTATCTCCCGACGCCTAAATCGTTCCCGAAGATGCTTCCCGGATCTGAAGCTTCTGGAGTCGCACAGATCCAGATATGTACGCGCGGGGAATCCCGGCGCGAGCTCTAGCAAAGGAAATCCCCCGACTCGGACTGCGATACCGTTCTCTTAAATTTCATACGACATTGCCATGGTTCACGCCCGAAACAACACGTCGAATATTCGGACGTGGTGTACGGCACACCGCGAAGTCTGCAATCCGTTGATATCTCGCAGATCGGGGTTCGACTCCCCGCGCCCGAACTACGGATCTCCCCGCGTTTCTTCTGGGTTCCTCAACGTCGGCCTCCCCAACCACCGGTTTCGCGTTGTTTTTAGATTGACGGGCGGTCTCGCATCTGGATAAAGCCAACCATTAGGAGGACTCTCGCTCGCACGCCATGCAAAAAACAATATCTGCTCGCCTCCTTTACGCGAAGCTCAATCGGCCACAAAATATATATGTGGTGTGAAAATTGAATCTGTCTTTCTCGGTGGCCCATAGACCATCTCTCCGAGCTCGCTGGGCCAGACCTTTGTTGCTCTCACTTGCACGGTTCATACAGGAATTAATTGCACCAGTACTCGGGCGTGGTGTACGGCACACTGCGAGCGCATCTGGCGATTGTACCACAGAGTTACAGTATCGTGCAGCCCGGGGTTCGGCTCCCCGTGTCCGGATGTAACCTCAGCTTCTTTGCGCTTTTTTAATTTACTGATTTATTCAACGCAGGGGGAACCGGCCCCAGGCGCGCCTTTTCGCCGTTCTGGGACGATTTCTACTCACACGTGTCCCACTAAATGAACAGGACAAATACTCGGACGTGGTGTCGAGCGCTTCTATGTCGAATGACTGATCATACCAGATAACTCAGTGTCTCGAAAATCGGGGTTCGGCTCCCCGCGTCCGAATCATGGGCCATGGCGACCCCAGTGTCCCTTTTTTCCAGTTTTTTTTTCTATCCATCCTAAATTCTGTCTCCTGTCCATCGGATTCGTTTCAGCCGCTCCTACAGCCGACGGTCCTTAATGGTTACCGGTGCATTCACAATGAGTTTCGCACAAGTTCAAGCTGCCAGTGCTGAATCCCTGATCAAACTCGGACTCGCTCCCTCTCCGATATTGCTTTCACTCGCGCCGCGGTTCACACAGGATTTGATACAGTAGGACCAGTACTAGTACCCGGGCGTGGTGTATGGAACACAGCGAGCTCTATTACCGAGGAATCTTATAAGCATTACGGTATCTCGCAGATCGGGGTTCGACTCCCCGCGTCCGGATGAAGTCTTCGCGGTTGTGAATAATCCTCCTTTTTCCTTTCCCCTGGGCCCTGATTACTTTGGTGTTTTCCGCGGTATATCCTCCAGATCTGGTCAATTTCGTGTGATTCCGACCGGTTCGTGTTCAAGTTCTTCGGCCAATAAAGCAATTTCTTACTGATCCACCTCACCAAGGACTGAAGTCAGTGAAGAGGCAAGACAACCGTGGATGGTGTTACGGTACGGAACACGGCCCTATGATGCGTTCGACTCCCACTGCAGTCTTTAATTACCGTTTTGTGAACTTTAGTCTATTGTCTTGGTCCTAGCCATCGGTTGGCTAGAGCCGTGGCTTTAGACAACGTTTCCTATGGCCAGGTCCAAGACACCAGCCTAGATACCAGGGCTATGGGTGGAAATACGGCGCGTGCCACTCAGGCCCAACGATCGGGCAGCAGCGAGTTGGATTCCATGCGCCCGACCCATGGCCAATTGCCCCTTGTGCGCAAGAGAGAGATGATCCTCTTTGTTTGATATAAATAATTTGTCTGGCTTCCGAAATCAAAAGTGAAGGTAGGTAGGTAGGTAGGTAGGTAGGTAGCAATGGATTTTTGTTCGTCTGATTCGCCACTCTGTGTCCCGTATATGGTTGGACTCGAGGCAAATCCATACTGTAACATCCATGCAGTCACTGGTACTCTGGCGGTGCGTCTTCCGGGACCTGGGTCGTTCGCAGCTGGTCCATTTCTTCCTGAAGACGCTGCACCTCAGACCGCAGAGCATCCGTCCCAGGCGTCTCGCTGTTGTGGTGTTCCGAGGAGGCTGACGGCGCTGGCTCGGGCAGTACCCGATCCGTCTCACGGCGCCTGAGATTGGGAGCGCCCTTCTCGGCTTTGAATGGGTTGGAGATTGCGGGGGCTACAGCAGAAAAATCCGAGGTGGTACCCGTGTTTGGACCACTGTCGTATGGCTGCGCCACTCGCAGCTTGTCCCTCGCTTGCCCGCACCCTCGCTTGCGGCGCAGGAATAGGAAAGCACCAATAAGGATCAGGACAGCCAGCGCACCGATGGTTCCGCCTATGATTGAGCCTGTGTTCTTCCGAACCGACTTGCTTTCCGGACTTATAGGCGGTGGTGCCGCCAGAGCAAAGCTTTTACTGGTCAGACATACGTTTGTTAAGACCTTCAAAAGGCATGATGCCCAACGAGCAACGTACTTCAAAGCCAGAAGCGAAAACATCGCGCCTTGTGCCGGACTAGGCCACAGATAATCAGTCGCGGAAATATTCACAAGCTGTCGACAAACTTACCTCGCAAACCCATTCTGAGGGTCACCTATCGCTGGCGCGACCCCAGACTGCGCGTTGTAAACATTGGGGAATGTCGCATTGCTGGAATTCGCGGACACGGTGAAACGGGGCGCTTGACTATGGGGTATACAAATGCTAACTAGTTTAGCTTCGTGAATGAACACAAAACCAACCAACCAACACACACACACACACACACACACTTATACTATTAGCGCACACCAAAGTTGCGGGGACGGGGTTCGTTCCATAGTATGCGGACAGCTGGAATCGAACTAAACGCAACAAAGTCTCGTTGGGGTGGGGTCTACAATCTTGTACTGAACTTCCAGTAGTATAAACTGACTGAAATGCCTCGCCTAGGCAATGAACCAAATGTTTTATATGTGTTTTTCCGGGACGGGTTGAACGCTAGGAGCTTACTTTAAAGCCCTAGGATCGATGCCAAGGTCCAAGGCGTCAACTTTATGACCCAGGGAACAGAGGACTTTATGAAACCAACACTGCAAGACCTTCTTAAACAGTGGACTCTAGCGTCTGGCCAAAGAACGTTTGTTTGGGAATCCTGCAACCAATGCAAAAGACAACAGAAAGAATCCGGGGGCAAGGCAGCACGTCTAGTACTCAGAACCCAACGGCAATCCTCTTGGAGCTTATGCCAGTGCTGCAGCGACTCGTTTGTACGTGAATGCCTTCTTACGGGTCAGACAACGTGGAATTTATATCACAACTCAATCAATTATCACACAAACACCAATTTATAGAGCAACTACAAACAGAAATTGAACGAATCTCCGCGAAGCCGACCTGAGGACACCACAGACTTTATTGAAACCTTTGACCTAAGTCTGGGGGATCTCGTCGCAATGAACTGGGTTTTTGCGGTGCTCCTAGGCAGCTTTATATACAGTTACAGGAAATATATGGAGATAACAGGAAAATGAGCGAGCTAGATAAGGTCTTGAGTCATACAGCAGCCAAGAAAACGGCTGCCGTGTCGAGTTGTCGTGCAGTCTGGCCGGCCGATCGCTTTTGGTGCGATCGGTTTGCTGGATTGGGTATATTTCCAAATGCCCTAGGCACCCGCCGCTCGGCCCTAGGACGTGCCTGGATCGGCATGCTTGATAATATCCCCTCGCTGGATTATTCCTCGTGCTCTCCACATGGTCTCGTCGGTGCTTTCTAATGTCCTAGGCAAGGCAGGTCTGCACCCGCCAAAACCGTGACCTCGATCGCTGGTGAGTAATATCCGCTCGCTGGTTTATAAGACCTGCTCGCTGCATTATTCCACATGTTCTACTTCGGCAGGGCGCACGCCAAGGCGGCAGCCCGGGACCGCGCTCGTAATTCCCGTAATTCAACCACGCTTTGTCCCTATTTGTAGTGTCGACGCGACGCGTCTGTCACCTGACTCTTCTGATCGCTTGGAACCCTCGTTGGTTCGAATCTTGTGAGCAACATTCCTTTTACATGGCCCTAGACCCTTCCCTCGATGTCTAGGGTGTATTCCAGTTTCAAGTCTTGAGGCCTAGGGGGTTCAACGCCCAGCCTAGGCTACTCCCTGACAAGTATTAAATGTTCCTAGCGAGCCCAGCTCTGGCCTAGCAAACGTCTAGTACCGATATCTTGTGCCCTAGGGCCATCTAGTATTCCCTGCCAGTCAGGCCTATGCAGTCTCGGTCGTTTGTAGCAATAGAAGTTCATCGTTCGATAGTCCGGGCTTGGTATATATCCTTAGTAGTAAGTCTAGCTTGCGCATCTTGGACGTTTACAACCAGCAGCTCGGATCTCACTCTGATTCTCCTTTATATCACCGTGTAGAGGACCCTAGGCTTGATTACACTAGCCTAGGAGTGCAATCTGTTATCCCTAGGAGCATTGGTTATGCCTAAGAATCGCAAAAATACACAATGTATGCCCATACATGTTTCTGGGCCGTCTCATCTCCCCCTCACTAAATCTCAACCGTCCCCGGTTGTTTGCAGGCGCCATTCGCCGCAATATTTAGTGGTCCTAGGGCTGATATCACCCGTCGGATACTTGTTTTATTTTTGCCCATCGTCCACATCTGAACAACTTCATCCTATTGCTTTAACCAATTTCTGACTGATTTTTCCCATAGCCGACTCGACTCAGTTCAACCGTGTGCATCCTAGATAAGCGCAATCTTATCTTAATTGACCGGATTTGCTTCCGTCTTGAGAAGTCCATCACATTACGGCATTCTAATTGACGATCCGCCACATGCCATTATAGGGGCATTCATGACTTGCGTCTTCCTTCCACTTCTCCTAGGATAGTCTCAACTCTCCTAGGCCTAACCTTCACACCTTTCGGTAGAAGCACCTTCCTAGGACTTCATCAGTGGCAATTGAATGCGTGTGAGTCGTGCCTAGGTAAATCAATTCGTGTGGCCTTGAGGCGGAAATATTTTTAGCAAATCAATTGCCTAGGTGCCCTTCCATTTTCATTCATCTAAAGTTTCTTTCTAACTTTTGATGTCGTGGGTTCAGGGTCTCCGCAGCTCAATCCTTCTTGCTTTCGTACTCCCACCACCCCACTCTCTTTCTCTCTGGCGAGCCGTCCTCGTTACAACCTTCGACCCGCTTCGGCGCAGAGTGTCTCCATCACGCCTCCCAAAAACGTCCCGCGGAAGAAGGGGGAGCCGGCACCCAAACCGGTTCCCGTCATCCACCCAAGTTTCACGCCGGCTCAAGTCAAGGCTCGATGGGCACCGCTCGTTCGTCCGGAGGTGCAGGCGGTCATCCCTCTCCTCAAGGAGGGCGCTCCTGCCAGGAAGTCCTGTGCTCAACTCCAGGTCATATTCCGTGATCTCGAGCGTGTCATGGTCAGTGGCACCCCAGTTTTTCTTTTCCTATCGTGCCTTTCTTAATACTCTTTCTTTCAGAAATCGTACCGTTGATATAGTGGGTGACGAGCCACCGGTGAAAACCGTTGGTTTTCGCATTCTTGAACACCTATTGGCGGAAATGTAAGGCGAAGTTATAGAGTATACGTTCTCCTCGGAACGGTATACTTTGCCGCTGACAGTCGAAAGCGAGCGGGTAAACACACGTGATAAGAACTCAACGCTGGGCCTCTAGCCCAGCGGGGTTTTCGATGCACCTAACCGGCCGGCTCAGATGGGCGGCTAACCACCGAACCTTTGAGTACTCGAGGCTAACAAGAGGAACTACTATCTTAGAGCGAGCCGCCCACTTCGGGCGGAGCGTTGGTGAAACAGGCGGGCAATCTTAGAAGATAAGATTCTGGCGGGAACTTCATTTACCCGCCGGATCTATAACCCAGGAAGGCCTAGTAAGCTGGCGGGGATTTCGGAGCACTTAATCAGCCGCCCACGCGTGAGGATCCACGATCAAGGAACGATGGTTCCCGGCGGATTGACCGAGGCAGCTTTTCCCGGCCGCTGACTCAAAGAAGGAGACAGGCGGCGTGCCCAGGAAACAAACCAGAATCCAGATGAACTAGAAGATACAGGCGGGGAGACTTGGGCGGGTAAAACTCCCAAGTTCCCTCACCGAGGACGAACGGGCGGGAAGTTGCCACCGGCGGAGAATTCCCCGGGCGGCTTGACAACCTTCTTGGCGCACAGCCGGACCATATGGTTTTGCCCGCTGACTGATACAAGATACCCACGGTTCAGAATACCCCGGCCGCCATTGGCCACACCAAAGATCTTTACCCACACTG